GAGGGAGAGAGGATGGAAGGTAGATGGGAGCAACAAGCTGCAGCGGCACAGGGGCCCCTGAGAGCCCCGGGGAGGTGCCACAGCTGACCACTGACGGCCTTGCCAGTTCCCTGCTGTTTCCTTATTTAGAACCTCTTGTGTCACTCCACAAGCAGGCAGACTTCTCCCTTTTAGATCTATTCTAAGGCACAAAGAAATGAGATTCTTTACACGTCATTTCTCTCCTGTCAGAGAGGAGGCCGATGTTAGGCGTTGCAGGCATTTATGCACGTCACCTCTACCTAATGACAAACACATCAACGGTTCTGGGCCCAGCTTACTTTTCCCTTTGATGCAGGCAGTGAGGAATTATTAAATGGCATTTCATTATGATCTACTGCCTAGATGTTAGTCATGGCGATTTTAGAGTAAGTCTGAGGGGAGTTGAGATAACAATGTCACTCCGACGTCAGGGAAGCCATGTCCCAACATGATGATCCCTCATCTATTTTGCAGTTCCTGATCTGCTGGCATCTTGCTTTGGGCTGTGCCATCTACTTTTTTGCTGCAAGTCTAGTAATTTGTAAACCTAAAATATAACTTTTTGCATTACTTTCCAGTGATGTTGTCTTTGAAGAAGGATTGTTTACCTGCTAGATATAGACAGATCTTTTTAGTCTAGACTTTGTTTCTGACTCATTGTGATCATCTGGGCAGATCATTCGATTTTTCTTCCTTCCTCCCATCCCCACTGTTTGGAAACCTTCCTACCAAATTACTGCTTTCTGACTCCCAGTGTCCCCAAGGCTTAACAGATAATGCCATTCAACAGTCCTTAATATGGGATCAAAATACTCTTCGTCTTGGACAGTTCCTAATGAGTTTCTGCATCTGCTCTATGACTTCAGCTTTCCACTTCCTCAGTCTTCCCTTTCCCACTGCTCTCTCTCTTTCAGCTTTTCTCTCTGAGGCAGCTAAGCCTCTGTCTGTCATGGTACATAATTTTTTTGGGACTCATTCCTAGCTGGTCTTTTGAAATCCCATACTGTAACTACCTTTCAACTTAGTTCTCTCTGCTAACTATGGCTTTTAAAGTCTGTTAATGTTCTAATAAGAAATAACTCATTTTAATTTAATAATAATATGAAAAGTGTATCCTATGCATTCACTCTTATAAAATTACCACTAGCAGGAAATCCCTAGCAATAAAGATATATAATATGATTTATACAATTTAATAAAAGCTCCCATAAGGATATCCTTTATATTGGACATATAATACATTAATCCTACAATAATTCCAGTGTAGATCACCATTTTATAGGTAAGAAAACTTCCAAAGAGGTTATTGAACCAGGATTTTTGTTTTTGTTTCTGTCATTCTTTTGAAGATAGCTATTATTTTGTGAATCCAGCATGCCTTCTGGAAACTGCTTCTCCCTTCTGCATCTGTATGGCTGTCATGAGAATAGTCATGTTATGAAAGGATCCTATCCCCTGACCTCTGAATCTTTTCCCACCAGGTTTTATGGACTGGGGAGTATGAGAATATTTGTTTAGAGTGGTTTTATTTGTTAAGTAGTAGCACGCAAATCTTAGGAGTTGTTGGCGGCCAGTTTACCACCACAGAGACTGTAGATGGGGAGGAAAGGTGGCCTGAGGTGGAGAGAGTGGAAGTCCCTGGCAAGCCCCTGCTTCCTGTTTTCCACCCAGGCCTTCTGCAAGCTGTGCCTGTGTCCTGAAAATAACCTTGTCACCTAAGTTCACATTTAGTTCCGTCACCTGCAACCCCCAAAAGTCCTGATCTCTGCTGATTGCTGGTAATCAGCACTATAACAAAAGAAGATAATGGATTTGGGCCAAAAATCACTGACATGTGAGGGTTTCATTCAAAGACTAGTTTATTCTAGTTCCCCAAGTGTAGTTGCTTAGTTCATTCCTTCCTGATCTTAAACACATCCAGAAAAACAAATCTTATCTATTAAATCTTTTATCTACATTAAAATATAGCCAAATTAATTCCAACAAGCAAGTCACCTTAAAAGCAACTGAAAATTAGTTGTTGCTGGTTAACTACAGTGAGTTTTACTCAGTCATCTTTATTTCTTTAAGAACTCAATCATGTCCCATTTTTAACATTTCAGTGTGCCAGTTAGGAAAGAGAAAAGAAAGTTTTTCTAAAGAATATGTTGATGGTGTTCTCTGTTGAGGTGATTAATGAAAGAAAAAGTTGACTATTACAGGTAGGGAATACTTCAGGGAGTCTTGGGACCGACTGTAGAACAGGGGTAGATTTGGGACTTTGCAGTCCCCTTTGCTGCTTGTGCAACACAGCACGTGAGCTGTGGCAGACTCTGGAGCTTATGCTGGGCTCTGATGACCATGTAACGGCCACGTGCGTGACTCCCAGTTGCCACTGCACACCCCCGAGAAGCTGTCTGTGTGCACCTCTGCAGTCACAGCACCACTGAATCCCCCCTCCCTGCCAGCATCACAGATTGACTCTGGATCTGTCTCATGTGGCCTCCTTAACCTTTAGGCTTAACACAGTGACAGTTTGCTCTGGAGCTTTGTGAAAGAAAAAATGCCTTAAGCCTACTAACTAAAAGAGTGTCTTCACCCTGCCTAACAACAGTTTAAGATCTAAAAGACACTGATCAGGAATTGTGTTAACCTCAGCACTGGAGAGGTTGTCTTGAAGAATAGGTAGAGGAACTACAGTGTGTGCAGAGAGTGGAGGTGAGCATACAGATAATGTCCAGCTAGCCTGCTTGGTGACTCTGAGTTTGGTAAGAACATATATCAAAATAAACAGTCAATTTGGTTGAACAAATAGCTTTCAAATATTAAGCTAGTTGTTTCAATGACTAAATCAGTTCATGAAAACAATTTACCTCCAGTTCTTAAATGTAGACCTACTTACTGTCAAGAAACTTTACCTTCTGTCTAATCCAAAGTATTCCTTCTTTGTTTTCACCCATTTTTAATACTGTTGCTCACAGAGAATGGCTACCTGGCTTGTTTTTGGCCTCCAATTCTATCTTCTGAGTTTTCCCCCATAGGTTCTAGTTTTCCTCTTTTAGTTATTCTTGACTAAAAAGACAAAAAGCAGTTATAGGTATTTGCCAAGCTGGTGAGAATTACACATTAATTTTCCCATATGGAATTTGGTAGGAATAAAATTCATCCATATACTGTACTTTGTGGATTGTTGTGTAAAATAGGATGTTACTATCTGCGGTTATGTTTGCCCTCATTCACCCTAGCTCTTCCTGTGTGCAGTTCCCAGGGACGGAGCATCATGAGTGCATGAGAGGAACAGCACTGTGTCTGTGTGTGTGTGTGTAGAGGTAGGTTGGACAAGAATGTCCCCATGGCGATGCACTAAAGCCACACCCCCATAGCAGTACAAACAGGGAGCTCCAGCCCGTTGCTGGTCTGAATTCAAGGAGTAGGCTAGGGCTACGACTGTGTTGATGGGAGAGGAGAATGGGCCTGAGGCTTGTGGAATGAGCATGCCTGAGCCTCCAAGATAAAGCGGCAGGGGGAGACAGACCTTGAGATGGTGTGGAGGAGTATTTGAGGCCAGGCAAGTTGGTGTTAACCATTAATTTTTCTTCTCTTTTATTCCTTTCAGGTTTCTTTATACCCTCTCTAAAACTCAAACATATAAACAGCCCCAGAATGAGGACCAGCACATGGTGACCAATGTTCATGGCCTTTGGGCATTCCTCCCCCTCATGCTGTTGGTAGTCCAGGGACTCTTCACAAAGTCGGACTATGGTAGGAAGGCCTCCTGGTTAAGGAATTTTGAGGCAGCCCCTTTGGAGCTCAGAATTGTCTTAAATATGAAAATACCAAGTTATGACACCACTAGGTAAATTACTACTTAATTCTGAGTATTTTTATAAACTAAAAACATACTATTTCCTTGAGTAAAAATCCTAATACTATGGCCGCATTATTTGTAATAATTTTAATAACATAGAAAGCTATGGGTAGTATTGTATTTTCTGTCAGGCAGAGCTAAACAACATGAAGCTTTTAGGGTTTATAGTTACTTAGTGCATAGATTCAAAATGGGTGGGAAAACTGAAAGTGGAGTATCCCCATATTTCACAATTTTGGACACAAGGGAGAAGAAATTATTTTCCTGTTGAATCTGAAAAGGTAAGCTTGTATGTAGTATTTCTGGATGTCTAAGTCATTTGGTTAGCCTTGAAAATTTGCTGATGAGCAGCTTTAATAAAGCTTTTTGGCAGTTCTTTCTAGAAGAATATTAAAGTAATATAAGTATTTGAAGGTGTGAAATGACACGACTTAATCTCTCAGTGGTTCAGATAGACGCTGAGTTCATGGCTACAGTTAGGTGGCCCAGGAATCTGTCCATTGTGTACACAAGCAGGCTAAGTGACAGAACTTGGCTAAAATCTATAAGTCCACAGATGTCAGAATTAGCTTTCAATTAAGGAAATGCTTATAAGAAACTGGACTACAATAAAGCAAAGACATAGGGACAGAGAAACTAGAGTTGCATTACTACAAAATTCTGCAAAATCAGACTTCAGCATTTGTTCAGCTTCATTTGGAGCTGAAAAACCCTCAAATTTCTTCCTGACAGTCATGAGCAATTGCACGAATATTATATTCCTTGATGATTTCCAGCATGATTCCATCCAAGGTTATGTGACAAGGCTGCATTATGAGGTTACATGTATTTGGGTAGTTTCTGCCTTTGTGTAATTTTGTCACTTTGCTTTGCAAAACCAAAAATTCCCTGACTCTTCACAGAAGAGAATCCAGCATTTGGCAGGTCAAGTAAATGTCTTTCCGTATTCTCCATCCCTGCCTCATTCTTTCTCCCACACTTTAGTTTACTAAGTTGTAAGTGCCTGAAATCATTTTTTGGTAAATTATGCTGGACCACTCTGAAAATCTGTGGTTGAGTGCTGGACCCTCGTCATCGCCACGCATTTTGTCACTGAGACAGGGTAACCCATGGTTACTGAGCTCAGATGAGCTAAGGGGCAGAGAGCCTCCCCTCCTCACTGCGCTATAAAAGAGACCCAGCAAAGGGACCCTACCAGCTTCTAGCTCTCAGCCTGGGTGAAGGTGTGAAAAGCAAAGCCTGAGACCTTCGGATCACAGCCCACCAGCTCAGAGGCACCGCCAGCATGTTTCCTTCCTTCAAACTTCAGGGTCACTTCGTCCTGATCTTCCTGCTGGCTCTGAGAGGGGAGAGCCGGTACCTAGAGGTGAGCTGTCCCCTGACAGACTCATCACACCTTCTGAGCCGAGCCCAGCCTTGGGTGGGGCCGAGGTGGTGAGCTCTCAGCCTTTTAATCTCAGGGATTAGCTTTCTTCCCTGTCTTTTGGGCCCCATCTTTCCCCTGGTTTCCCCTAGGCTGTCTTCCTCCTTCCCTCTGCCCCTGAGGATACCTTGGTCTAATGGAAAAGGTCTAGGATCTTCCCGTCTTCTCCGACGGGCTACATGGATTCTACTACTTTATTCTCTTTGCTGTGGGGCATGGAGGGTACCCGGCTCTTGCTCTTCGTTTCCACCCCTTGAACTTTTCCCAGCTGACCTATTTTCCTTGCCAGCTGCGGGAAGCGGTGGACCATGACCCCTTCCTGCTCCTCAGCGCCGACCTGAAGCGGGAGCTGGCGGGGGAGCAGCTGTACCGCCGCGCTCTCCGTGAGTCGGGGCTCTGGAGAGCGGCCGCAGGCAGCAGGGCGGTTGGGAGGCAGGGGCTCCGCGCCCAGGACAGGAGAGTGTGGGGCGCTGCCCCGCAGGGGTGGCTAGGATGGCCGGGGCGCATTTCCGTGGCTAAAGGTCCCTCCGACAGGGCGCGCGGTGATGAGATGGATGACGTGCACCAGGGGGGCACAAGCTAGGCGCAACCGAGAGTAGGGGTCCGGCGTTGCAGACCAGGGAATGGGCCTGGAGAGGGGCTGCCTGGGGCCGGCGCCTCGGTGGCTGCATCTCGGGACCCCTGCCCCCACCTCCCACCCCCCACCAGGCTGCCTGGACATGCTGAGCCTCCAGGGCCAGTTCACCTTCACCGCCGACCGGCCACAGCTGCACTGTGCTGCGTTCTTCATCAGCGAGCCCGAGGAGTTCATCGCCATCCGCTATGACCTGGTCTCCATCGACTGTCAGCGCGGGGACTTCCTGAAGGTGAGGCGCCCTGGCTGCGGGGCGCGGCGGCGGAAGTGGGTCAGGGGCTACGGGGCTGACGATCATGGGGCTCAGGAGGTTCTCTTTCACACTGGGGTACTGGAGCGGGAGCGGCGCTCTGGGACCCCTACGCGGTGCGAAGCTCGCCAATTTCAGGACCCACATCCTGAAGGACAGGTGCCTGGGACGCTGCAGTTGAAATTCCCCTCTGTGCACTCTCAGCGCCCAGGCGCTTCCAAAGACTTGAACCTGCAGCAAGAAACACTGTGTTGAAATATGGTGCAGATGAAAAATGATACAAACTAACTGGCCTGAGGGCCCCTTCTGGTCCATCTCTCTGTGGACCTGTTCCAGGCTCAGAGAGGCTCTCTTAAAGGCCTGGGGGACCCAATTTTGGAGCAGTAGGGGACTGACTTCTGGGAGGGACGCTGAGAGGGAAGCTAGTCTGAGGCAGGTGGGAGGTACGGACAAATCCCCCACCCTTACAACATCGCCTCACCTAGTCAGTCACTCTGTCCTACAGGGCAGCTTGGAGTTCTGCAGTCCCATTAAAATGACCATGGTTAAAATCTCCAAAGTGGAATTATTGTGGAACCTGTTAAACACATTAAAAGAGGACTGGTTTGGTGAAGTACTTTATAGCTGGTAATTTTGTTAATGTGACCTGGGTAGGACGGTTTGGTGAAGTACTTTATAGCTGGTAATTTTGTTAATGTGACCTGGGTTGGACTCATTAAATCAGAAACCTATGGTGATTTTTTAAGAGTAAAGTCAATAGACCCTGACCTTTTGTCCAATTTCAAACTTTAACAAGTGGAGGAATAAAGTCCTAAGTGGCATGCCAGCTATTGCTAAGCATGGAAGCAGTTTTTGATACTTTAATATGTGACAAGAGTATGGAACTGAGGAAAATGAGCATATATAATCACTAACAGGTAGGTAAAGTTGCTGCTCCAGTTTTTATTTTGCTGTTTATTTTTGAGATATTTTGCTCATATTTCAATGAGGAGAAGAAAGAGAAGAACTGAAACCCAAATCACACACCTTTGTGGAATTCTTCTCCAGGTGGAATGTGTGGAAAATATGACCAAGATAAAAATGTATATTGTCTGTAGTTTCATTTACCAAGTTGGCTGAAATTATGAAATGAAGTATAATAAAGTTTACTTTGGAAATTCTAAGTTTTAAAAAGAAAAAAAGCAATAATTAGTTAAAACTATTACTTGCAAGCACCTCTCATGGTCAGAATAGAGAGCAAGTGGGCAGGGGAGTATATCCCTGCCTTGTGACTGAAGGCCCATTACTAGGTAACTTTTTCCCACTTTTCAACACACCTATGACTTCAGGAGTTGATGGAAGTGACCATCTGTGTCTGTGTTTTGTTGGAAGGTGTTTGATGGTTGGATTCTCAAGGGAGAGAAGTTCCCCAGTTCCCAGGATCACCCTCTCCCCACCACTGAGCGGTACATAGATTTCTGTGAGAGTGGGCTTAGCAGAAGGAGCATCAGATCATCCCAGAACGTGGCCATGATCTTCTTCCGGATCCATGAGCCAGGAAATGGATTCACATTAACCATAAAGACAGATCCCAACCTCTTTCGTAAGTGGGTTCCCTGTCTTCTCAGTAGAAGGCAGGACTTGGGGGGAGGGAGAGTCAAATCTACTTTTCAAAGAGTATCAAGGCACAGACTTAAGAAATTTGAATGGAAATTCTGTAATTACAAATGACCTAAAGGATATTTCCTATTTGTTATTTTGAAAATCAAATGACAGTTTTTAATTTATGTCCCAGGCTAGATAGCATACTAATTTGTGGTAGGTAGAATTCTATTTTTTCTCCAGTCTTCTTCTGATTTCCTGAGGTACTACAATACTTTCAGTGACAAATGTTAATCCCTCCATGTCATTCCATTGATCTGGGAGTAGCTTGAGGGATCAGGTATGAAGTTGCAGTCTTAAGAGATATTTAGGCAAATGCTGAAAGACTATGTATCTCGGATGTTGTAGACAGATCTCATGTCCTGAGCAGAGGGTTGGACCAGAACACTTCAATCTTGCCTTCTGATTCTGAGCCCATCACTCTAAATCAGTTCATTTCTGATGATACACACATAGATGCTATAATGCTGAACAGTCCAGGCCTAAAATACATTATCTTAAATCAAAATGAGTTCATTCATCTGTTTATTATTTTTTCCTAATTAAGAGAAAAATATTTTTTAAAAATCAGGAAAAGAAAACATCACTCACTTTTGGTTGCATAAAATAGTATTAACACTTCATGTGGTTGAAGAATGATCTGCCAAAGAATAATATACTGACTGATCTTCCAATTTTTGTTTTAAAAAACAAAAAATTTTTGAAGGAAGCCCCCCAGAAAAGGCTGTTTCTGAACAGATAATCCTAGAGGACAATATGAAATGTTTCTTCTACATTTTGCATGGTTGGAAATCAGAAACCTTCTAGAAACATCAAGGAATTTTAGGGTTTTCAAAAATTAAGTGTGATTAAAAGCATAGGAAGGAGGCAAGAGATAGTTTATTCTGATCAGTTAGAAACTTTTGTCCCATATGGGGAAAAAAAATTTTTTTTTGAAGGCACAAACTCTGATGCTTCTAGTTTTATAGCTAAAAGAAGAAATTTATTATAATTCTAAGCTTCAGATAAAAAACAAAAAATTTCAGAAAGTTTTGGAAGTAAATTAAACATTATAGTTTTACCTTTTAGACAACTTACCACTTAAAACCCAGAAAATACTTACCAGGCATAAGCCTGTTTTCTATTTTTCTCAGCCTATTTTGTAACAAAATTTTCAGCCTATTTGGTAATATAGTGTATGGTATAATATATTGATATTACTATATTATTTATTATTTTAAACATATTATATTTATTTTCTTTCTTATTTAAAAATAACACTATGGCTCTAAGTTCAATGAATGAAGGTTTTGGACAGAGAGCATTTGAGTTCTGGCCTCACCTGTAAGTCCAGATTCTTTTAGACTTCCAGCTTGAACAGGGACCCTAGTTAATGGTGTGTTTCTAGAAATTTCACTGCCTAGTATTATCTGGTTGATTAGTTTTTATCTTGTAGTTATTTTGGTAACCTGCTGTCATGAACAGTAGAATCACCCCAGAGCCCAGAGCTTTCTGACAATGTCCATACCTCACTGGTGATATTTATTCCCGACTCCTTCCTGTCTCCAAACTGCCTTTGTGATAGGTACTCTCTTCCAGGCCATGATGCCCTAAACCATGAATAGGAGACTAGAATAAGAATAGGATAAATTTGTATAAAAACCCAGCACCAAGTAGATAACATGTGATTTTGTTTTTCTACAAAGCCTGCAATGTCATTTCCCAGACCCCAAATGGAAGGTTTACCCTGGTAGTTCCACATCAGCATCGAAACTGCAGCTTCTCCATTATTTATCCTGTGGCGATCAAAATATCTGATCTCACCCTGGGACACTTAAATGGTCTACAGGTAAAGGTGAGTTGTTTACTTGCTTCTCAGTCATTTACTAAGGCCACAGCTTTATCAGAGCAAAAGTAACCATATAGGGCAAACGTAGCCATTAGCAAATAGAAAGAGTATGTCCTGTGTGACCATTCCGTCTCACGTGTGCTTGCCCTGACTGCGTTAACTAAACCTCTCTTCTATTTCCCTTACGCTGCAAGTTGCCTATTCCGGTACCCCTCTGACTACTTGAATACTTCCCTTGTGATGTAAGAAATGCTTTCAGTTGGTAAAGTTGTGATATATAATTACAATTGAACTCTCTTGTACTTGCCTCTTTTACAAAAATTCTCTCCTAGCAGAACCTAGTGTGAGTCATCTGCACAGCTGTGCTTCTGATTATTGGAATTTTCTTTTGATGCAAAGGAAGTATCTCATTGACAGGACTGTGTTATGAAGGAATGCTAGGTGTAGCATAAAATATGAAATTGGATTTTCATATTGTAAAATGCAGTAAGAGTTTTTTGCATTACATTTAATTCAATACATTTTGCAGCAAAATATTAGCTGAGAATCTTCATCAGCTTGTTTTCCCATGAAATTCTGTATGGACTTTACAGTTAATGCTGAGCTTGAACACATTTATTTGTGCTGTAGCATCTTCCTTCTGAGTCATCCTCATTTCCTTTTACCTCATATGTTTGGGTTAAGATAGCTCATATGTATTTGCTGGGATCAAAAACAATTATAATCCCTACTCAGACAGATTTCAGTGAACACCAAATAAATAGGGCCAGGACTGAGAAAAGGTATATATCTAGTTTCTTTTAAGCCCTAAATCCATGGGCCAGAATTTTTTTAGTTATTTAAATTATTTAAAATAATGTTAAAAATTATTTAAGTTAAATAATTTTAAACATTATTACTGGATCTTAGTGGAAGAATAATCCTTTGATAAAGACCAGAGTAGGTGGGTGTCTCTGGCATAGCCTTATTGGCTTGAGATTGTTTGTGTGCCATTCCTGATGTATAAGAAGAAGATGGCAAGTGTGATAGCAGATTGGCATAAAATAGCAGATCTGTCCTTTGGCTGTGCTTGATTAGGAGGGGTAATCTTGGAGTTTTCCCTTAAAAAATTTTGAGGCCTGCAGTGTTCTAGGAATCTATTTCTTTACAAAATATTTTTTGACTGCTTACCATGTGCAAGGTACTATTCTAAATACTGGAAATTAGTAACAAAACAGGTCCTGCTCACATGGAACCTGCATTCTAGTGGGATAAGAGAGGCAAACATATCATGTATTTCAAATAGTGGTGAATGCCTTACAGAAAATGCAGTGGAGTGGCGTGACAGACAGTGATGGGGGCAAAGGAGCAGAGGGCTGGCCGGGGAGCTACTGGAGATGAGGTGGTCAGGAAAGAAATTGAGAAAGAGACATTTAAGCTGAGACTTGAGATAAGAAGGAGCCAGCAGCCACCTGCAGGGCCGGGAACAGAGGGAACAGTAGGGCAGAGGCTCAGAGGAGGGGATGGGCTTCCCGGGTTCCAGAAGTGGAAAACAGGAAAGGTAGAGAAGGAGTGATATGAGACAGTGTCATGGAGATGTACATGCCCAGAGATCATATTAAGTAGTTTGAGTTTATTCTAAGTGTAGGGGAAAACACTGAAGGGGTCAGGCAAGAAGGCAACAGAATCCATTCGGTTATGGGCAGGTGGGGTAAGGGTGGCCGGGAATTGCTGACTTCATGACCAAATTCATTATCAAAGTCTATGGCGGGAGGGAGAGGATGCCTCGCGGTGATTCTGGTGTCCACGTGGCGGACAGGCTGCAGGGCCTGGAGTGATGCGGAGTGCGCGCCCAGGCATAGTTTCAGCAGGTGGAGCTAGTGGCTTAGTCCAGGCAGATGGAACCTCAGCAAGAAATCTAGGGGATCAGTGTTGAGGAGCTGAACCCCAAGAAGATCTCTCCACAATTAGTCCTGCCCTTGTTCCTAAGAATAGCTCAGCGGTTTGGAAAGAAGAAAGAAAATCATTGAACGCCAAGGAATGGGTGCACCCAATTTCCTTGTTTTTCTGTTCTGTTTCTCTCACTTCAGTTTCTACTTTTCCTCACTTCCTTATTTCGTATTCTTATCTTCCAGTCCTACCTTTTCACCCTCACCACCTTCTGCTGAAACTTGGAATGCATAGAACCAAGTGGAAAATTTAGTCTTATGAGATGTTCCCCTTGGAAACCTTCTACTCAAGGGAAAGGCAATTAAGTTTTTTTTCTTCACCTCTTATTCAACTCTTCAGATAAGAAGATAAGCCCTGTACAAAGTAGGGCTAATTAACCTTCTATGTCATCACTTGATGATATTATGTGTAGAGCCCAGCACATAGTAGGCACTTCAAAAACATGGGTCTCCACATGCTTCCTTCATTAGCCAAAGAGTTGCTGTTATATTATTTTCTAATTTTGCTATTTAGTTCCAGTTGCAGTTGTGTCTTCTAAACGTTTGAGTGTGTGTGTGTACAGTTCTCTATTTAGATGTAGGTCCCTGTGTAGTTAATCCTGAGCACCTGCTACACTCCACTAGATCTCTAGATGAGTGTGCCTCACTGAAGGAAGAAGATTACAGGCAACACCCACTCTATCATTTGTGGGGGACAATACAAAATGAAAATGTGGGAGCCCTTAATTAAAAATGATTAAGCATTCCAAGACGGTGACAGCAGAGCACTAAACCAAGCCCTCACCCTGTAAGTGTGGGCCTGCCTATGAGTCCATCCCTGATCACAGGGGAGGGGCAGCCCCAAGTGCAACATTTTGGGCTGGGGGGAACTGCTTTGTGTGCAGAAGTGAAGCACAGGAATTGATGTGGATGAAGCGGTTTGGAAAGGATGAAGGGAAGCAGGAAAAGCTTATTAAAGTAGATCACACAAAGTCTTAGAATAGATCTTGTTCTGAGTAGCTTGAAATAAATTTGTTTTAGTTGGAAGGAGAAAGATGATGGTAGCTCTAGCTAACTGGAGCCCCAAATTAGGGTTGTCCTTTTTCTTTAATATCCTTATAACTAACCTAAATCCTTATCTGTAGAAACGATAAGGATTGTCCCAATAGCAGAAAAAGTCCTTTACAAAGAAGAGGAAAATACGGAAGTTGAAGGAAAAAACTGATGTGAAGGCCCTACTTATAAAAATTCTGACTGCATGCATTAAGGAATTTAAGTAATTCAGAATGTATATCCAAATGATTCAAAAAGTAAGTTTATGGATTCCCATTTCATCATTTCAAGCCTTGAGGTTATAAAAAGAATTCACACACATTTAAAAAAATAATTACTCAGCTGATTTAGAAAAGCAGTTCTTAGGATGTCTCCTTTTAAATGGCTTTTAATTTCTGGCATCTTGGATGTTAAGTTCAATGGCACTGCCAGGATGTCTAGGATGGAGTAAATCCAGCAACTACCATTGGTCAAATGGTTTGACTTCCATAATTAGTTTAACTATCTTTCTCTGCTGCCTAATTCACATAGAAGCCCTCAGCAAGTTGTGGAGGAATAGGAGACTTTGTGGAACTGCTGGGAGGAAATGGACTGGACCCTACCAAGATGATGCCTTTAGCTGATCTCTGCTATCCCTTTGATGGTCCTGGTGAGATATTTCTTTGATTATTATTTAAGTGCCTATCAATATTATTTCCTTGAATAAGACACTTCAAATTTCTTACACTTGGGAAGGCAAGTTCCATTAAAAAACTTGAATTTTGTACATTGAGCCAATGTGGGGATTTTACATTTGAGCCCATGTACAGCATCATTCGAATGCATTATCAAAATACCTGGAATTGGAAAAGAAATCTGTGAAGTAACAAGGGTGCACATTTAAGGCTGGCCCTAAGTAAAACTATGAAAAAGACGAACTGTTTTTGTTCTGTGCTCTTTCCACCTTCTTGAAGGTCCCTGCTTTCATCCTCTAAAGACTAAGAGTTGGTGTACTAACTGAAAACTATGGTTCAAACAGTAGATGTGTCATCAATTAATAATTGTATAACAATGAAGTAATACCTAAATAACTTTTCCATACATATGTATATATATATGTATGTATGTATTACTCATAGTAAGTAAATTTAAAAGTGATATGCTTTAGTAAAAATTCTGAGAATTGCTGAATGCCCTCAACTTCTAGCAGCCAAAGTAGCCTCTGAACACCTCTGCGAAAACAGAAGTCAACTCTGAAATCCAACAGTGGTCACGACTAATAAAAGACCAGTTTAGTGCCGAACAGAACCAGATCTTCTTTGTTAGGGATCAGTGAAGACTTTCTGTGTGATTATGCTCAGATGAGGTGAGGGTGGGTGGGAATGGCTGACCTTACAACTAAATTAACAAAGTCAATGGGGTAGGGAGAGACTTAGATAAAACATTTCTATAAAGGTCACTCCCATATCTGTACTTCAGATGCAGGAATCGGAGATTATATTTAAAGAAACAACAGTAAAGCACAAGAGAACAGAACTACAGTCTTTAAACTAAAGTAAGTTTATGGATTCCCATTTCATCATTTCAAGCCTTGAGGTTATAAAAAGAATTCACACACATTTAAAAAAATAATTACTCAGCTGATTTAGAAAAGCAGTTCTTAGGATGTCTCCTTTTAAATGGCTTTTAATTTCTGGCATCTTGGATGTTAAGTTCAATGGCACTGCCAGGATGTCTAGGATGGAGTAAATCCAGCAACTACCGTTGGTCAAATGGTTTGACTTCCATAATTAGTTTAACTATCTTTCTCTGCTGCCTAATTCACATAGAAGCCCTCAGCAAGTTGTGGAGGAATAGGAGACTTTGTGGAACTGCTGGGAGGAAATGGACTGGACCCTACCAAGATGATGCCTTTAGCTGATCTCTGCTATCCCTTTGATGGTCCTGGTGAGATATTTCTTTGATTATTATTTAAGTGCCTATCAATATTATTTCCTTGAATAAGACACTTCAAATTTCTTACACTTGGGAAGGCAAGTTCCATTAAAAAACTTGAATTTTGTACATTGAGCCAATGTGGGGATTTTACATTTGAGCCCATGTACAGCATCATTCGAATGCATTATCAAAATACCTGGAATTGGAAAAGAAATCTGTGAAGTAACAAGGGTGCACATTTAAGGCTGGCCCTAAGTAAAACTATGAAAAAGACGAACTGTTTTTGTTCTGTGCTCTTTCCACCTTCTTGAAGGTCCCTGCTTTCATCCTCTAAAGACTAAGAGTTGGTGTACTAACTGAAAACTATGGTTCAAACAGTAGATGTGTCATCAATTAATAATTGTATAACAATGAAGTAATACCTAAATAACTTTTCCATACATATGTATATATATATGTATGTATGTATTACTCATAGTAAGTAAATTTAAAAGTGATATGCTTTAGTAAAAATTCTGAGAATTGCTGAATGCCCTCAACTTCTAGCAGCCAAAGTAGCCTCTGAACACCTCTGCGAAAACAGAAGTCAACTCTGAAATCCAACAGTGGTCACGACTAATAAAAGACCAGTTTAGTGCCGAACAGAACCAGATCTTCTTTGTTAGGGATCAGTGAAGACTTTCTGTGTGATTATGCTCAGATGAGGTGAGGGTGGGTGGGAATGGCTGACCTTACAACTAAATTAACAAAGTCAATGGGGTAGGGAGAGACTTAGATAAAACATTTCTATAAAGGTCACTCCCATATCTGTACTTCAGATGCAGGAATCGGAGATTATATTTAAAGAAACAACAGTAAAGCACAAGAGAACAGAACTACAGTCTTTAAACTCATGGCAGATTCTTATCATAGCCCCTCCCTCTCTTGTAACCACAGATTACTAACCAAGTAGGTAATGAAGCTGCCAATCGGACATCCTTTTGACCAGCTGTTATCTGTTTTGATTAAAACCTGGCCTGCCCACCAGTTTTTTCTCTGTGAGCTAATGCTGGAACCTTAATAAGTAAAACTTTTCTGAAACAGAATTAATACAGATAAACTCTAAGGCCTGATATGTATTCCACTGTCCCCCAGATATACCAGTTGTTAAAGAGTTTCAGATGAGATTTAAGGCAGGACTGGGCCTGAGGCAAGCTTTCTAATCAAGGTAAAGGCAAAAGGTTTCTAAAAACCCACTTTGCTGCAAACTCAGGGATTATTTTATGTTAGTTGAGCCCTGGTTTAAACCAGTGCATGCAGCTTCAGACTGCGTGTGTTGGACTTTTGCTCATGTCCCTGAGGCACTGGGTGTCTCCACGGGAGTCTGGTGAGGAGATGCCTTTGGGCTGGGTGAGATTAGGTGAAGGGCTGCCTAAAACTGTAGATAATGGAAGCCAAAGTAATTTTGGTGCTTGAATTATACGATTTGAATTAGGTAAAAAAGGGTGAGACAAATGGCAAAAAAACACTTTTGCCTCAATTATCTAGATAATTGAAACCAGTCTTAAGATAATTTGAAAGCTTAATTATATGACTCAGTGGTTCATTTTAGACTTCATTTTGTTCTTTCATTCACCGTGTTTTCATGACCTCCTCCTAAACTGCGAATGAAGAGCTATTAGGGAACCTGGATCTGTTTAGGAATTATGTCAAATAATAAATAATTCATATAATAAATAGTGTCAAATATGCAAATTAACTAAAGGAAATAGTGTGTGTTATGTAGATGAAATTTCAGAGTAAGATCAGAAAAATAATGACCTTCCGAATCATTTTTATAAAATTAAATTTAGACCCTCTTGGAGAAGCTTAGTCTAGGCTCTCTGGTGCTTTTATTAAAATAATTATAGGGTTTATTATGTTTTCAAATTGACTTTTACCTCAATAACTCTGTTATGCCTCATTTAAACCCAGGCACATGTTTGTAAAGTAGATATTATACAATGGTAATGCTGGTGTTCCTTAGAATTTAGGCCTTACAGAGACAAAGTTGGGGGGAAAAAGAGAAAATTAAAACAGCAGAAAGGACTATTGCAGGGTAGATAAATCTTGCCTCAGGAACCAGCTAAGGCTACAGAAATAAAGTAAAGGTAATTTTTGATAGAAATACTATGAGTTTCAATATGTAACTGCTCAGGTACATCTGCAGAAAAAGACACACAGATGTTGTCAGATGCACATACAAATAACAAGACTGGATTTAAGGGAAGTATATCAAAAGCCATTCCATATAGGAAGCACAGAAAAAAATGAGAGAGACAAAGTCTAGGTGAACAATGTAACTAAAGTGAGTATATTCAGTATATATCTAAATCATGCAAATGATGTTTTATTTATCTAAACTAGAATTGTTATCTAGGCTCACAAAATTATAAATAGGCAATTTTCGGGGTCTACAAAATTGTTCAGCAGTACACTTCACCTTCCAGCCCTGCCCACTAAATGCCACTTGCACCCCCTGGTATGACAGTCAAAAACTGCCCCTGGAAATTTCCAACCTGTCCCTGAAGAGTGTTACTGCCTCCACTGAGAATACTGGACTCAGGGGCAGTGTGAACAGACCACTTCCCTTCACCCTCCTTTTATTACTGAAGCCTTGCAGGTAGGAGAATGTGCAAAGTGCAAAGAAACATCTTCTTGCCCGTTCCAGCCAGTTTTATTCATCTAACAGTGTTATTGCACATGACTAGAAAGCCTGAGTTCAATTTTACTATTCTATTATTAAATATATATTAAAATAAAAATGAAAACAAGAACATTTCACCTGACAGTAGATTTGTTGTTTGAATATGTGATAGAAAGATAGGTCCCCTTGCTTTCTTTGTGTTTAAATTATCTCACTGACAGAAATGGTTTGACTGTGGGATTTTTAACATGCCGGGAAATTTACTTTTTCTATGAATTATAGCCCAAATGAAAATTGGCTGTGACAACACTGTGGTGCGCATGGTCTCCAGTGGAAAACACATAAATCGTGTGACTTTTGAGTACCGCCAGCTGGAACCATATGAACTGGGAAACCCAAGTGGAAACAGTATCCGGGAATTCTGTTTGTCTAGTCTTTGAATAACCAACCCAATGATTTATATGCTGCTAACTAAGTGAGTCTTTAATGGCTGTTATATATGATTTTGATGACGAGCTAGTTAAAAGCCTTTCATACCAGTCAGTATTCCTAGTGTTGAGCACACATCACACACATACAAGCATTCATTTTTGTACCTTGCTTCTTTTACATTTTAACATATAAATCACTACATGGCAGAAAATAAGCTCCACCTTTGGTAGAAAAAGTTTTCTGTAATTCTTTGGTATGCTACAAACCTGAGCTGGTAAAACAAGTACAAGGCAATGTGCAATAAAAAAATTGTATCTCAAGAGAAAGTGCTACAAATAAATTAAAATGGTGGTTTCATAGTAATTTCATAACAAAAAACAATGGAATGTCTGTGTATACCAAAGTAGTTGCATCTGTTTGCTTATTTGTTTATTATTCTGTTTACAAGAGATAATAGTTATAGCTATTATTTATTAATTTGTAACAACTTGTTCTTAACAAAACTTCATAGCATGGAAAAAAATTTCCATCCACAAATACAAACATGAATAAATATATATACAGAATGTTGGCACCTTGACATTGTGTTTTGTTTTTCCTGAGTGGTCCCCTCCCTTATTACCATCAGAAAACAATGTTCTCATGTGGTGCAGAACCAAATGCTGAAATAAATAATTTTAGAGTTCTTATTAGATCTAGCAAAACTCTGAGCCATTGAAGTAGAGAATTATTTAGAGCAGAAGTAGAATTGTAGGGTTTGCACAAACAGCACTAACTGATTGGTCCTGATAGACCAGCTGGATACAGGGATCCCTTCTCCACTGTCCTCCAAGAAAATTGAGAATGCACGTCTTTGTCACACTGGGTGTACTTTTCAATAAGGACAGCAAAGGCCTTATAACTCTCATAGGCACAATTTGCAGGAATAGGAAGGAAGAGAGTTGGCTGTTGACTGAACCTTGTCAACACTGGGCTTGAGGCTAGGTTTGTAGTCAGTAAAAGATGTCTAACAGCCAGTAATAAGGTCCTGAGCAACAAAGCAAATGCTTCTAAGTTAACTCTTTACTTTGGATTAATGGATGGGAGCTGTGAACGGTGCCATAATTTATGGCCTGATTGTTTTGATTCTCTAAATATATTTAATATGAAGTTCATTTTATAGTGGAATGTACTGGAATCCCATATACCGAAAACCAGGCGGAAAGAAAAATACTGTTTGAAAAATCAGTAAAAAATACTATTGAAAAATACCCAGGATTTAGCACAAATTTTTGCTTGGTAGATTTTTGGAATGAATGAATGCTTTAGCTAGAGAATGAATAGACGCTTGGATGGATGAATGGAGGTGGGATAATGGATGGATGGATGGATGGATGGATGGATGAATAAAAACTGGGATAAAGGCTGGGATGAATCAATAAATACTGGAATGGATGGATGTATAACTCCCAATTAGTTATATAAGATATTGGACTCCTTATTTCATTGAAAATAAAAGGTTTCAACTTCATAAAATTTATCTTTTCCGCAGACCCTCTGGCAATTTAAGAATTAGTGCAGTCACTCATATCACTCTCAGAAGTTTCTGGCTCATAACCATCATCATCCCTTTATGCTGTGACTGCGAAATGGCTTGAGGTGAGGCGGCACATTTTTACCATTGAAGTTAGGACAACCAGCTTTTATTCCTAAGGGACATTTTGCAAGCTACTAGCTTCTCTGCAGGAAAGTGGGTGGGACTGTGGTCCTTACAGTTTCTTCCAACACTGACATTCTATAAGAGTTTATTTGTGCCATATTTTACTTCAAAGCTTAGTGCATTCTTTGAGAGGACAGCCTCTCCAGTGAACCGTAAATGACTTATTCTTTGGAGTTCCATGACTTAATCTTTATTCTAAAAGGATGGAGCAGCTTTTTGGCAACAAATAGTAGATAAGGTCTCTGGGGAAGAGTTACAGGGTATGTCTTCACTGGAACTTCCATTAAGAGAATATTGTTACATGAAATGTTGGCCAAATGTGACTTTCTAAGGAAGGCAGTATGCACAGTGTTTATGGTTATTGACCCTGGAACAGGCCCTCTTTGAATCTCAGCTCTGCCACTTACCTAAGCAGGTCACTTAGTTTTAAATCTATAAAACTAGGGTAATAAAATACCTCCTTCAAATAAAGGTTTTTGTGAAGGCTGATTAAATATATTTAAAGCCCAAGAACTGTGTCTTGCACATGTCTGCTGTTATTTATTTATTTTTTTTTGAGAGGGCATCTCTCATATTTATTGATCATATGGTTGTTAACAACAATAAAATTCTGTATAGGGGACTCAATGCACAAGCATTAATCAACCCCAAGCCTAATTCTCAACAGTCTCCAATCTTCTGAAGCATAACGAACAAGTTTTTACATGGTGAACAAGTTCTTACATAGTGAATAAGTTCTTACATGGTGAACAGTGCAAGGGCAGTCATC